TATGTTTGACGATAATTAAATTTAATCATATGCGATTATATTTTTTTAGAAAAAAATAATAAAAATTTAGATTAAAATTATTGTTTTTTTCATTTCCGTTAGAGGAAAATGGTATATGTGAGCCATTTATTTACAAGTAGGGGTATATATGAGCCGTTTTCATAACAAAGAGTATATCAGTTCTAAATGACAATGTTGAGGGGTATATCAGACTCTTTTCCTTTTATTCTATTCAAAATATGACATAGTAAAATTATTCTTTAATTTATAATTTTTTAAGAATTATATAAAGTCAATAGTAGACAAATACTATTATACACGAGTATATGTACCATGAACTAGCCACATTATTCCATATTGTTTGGTATCTGTGTCAAGTAGATCCTTTTGAATAGAACTTTATACTCTGACTGTACAATAGAATATGATTCTTACTTTTTTTCTTTTAATTTGTTTTCCTACTTATTGTTCAGTATCCTGTTAAAATTTGATTAAAATTTAAATTTCATAATATTTTAATTATATTAAGATTAATGTGTTATATAATAAAAGCGTTTACATAGCTAGGACTTGACATAAATAGTCGAGATCTCTGATAAAATATAATATGATTCTTCATTGAGAAAAGATCTAATGTTCCATCAAGATAAAAGTAAAATGACTTTTAAGCTACTTGAAATGACACATTACTTTTGCCTAACAATTGTATTTCCTGATATGGAAATTCAAGGTTTACCTAAATAAAGGAAACTCAATGTTATGATCCAAAGACTAACTTGAATGATTGGGTTTTAGATGGTTAGTTAATTTTTATTTTATTCAAAATAAACGCGCTATCGCGCTACATTGCTTTTTGTTGATCTATAACAAGGTCACATAGATTTTACACATTATTTTTACTATATGTCGAATCTTTGTTTCAGTCATCTTTTTACATTGTTATTTTTTTTATAGATATTTAATTTATCTTGTTATTTCTATATTTTTTATTTTTATTGATTTATATAGCACTAAAATTATTTTACTACTTTTTATATTTAAAAAATCATCTAGCTTTACTTAAGTATCACAAACCAACTATCTTTTTTTTTTAAAAAAAAAGTACCACTCATTTTTGCCAAAATATCATAAGAAGTCATTAGAAGAAAATAAAACAAAAAAATATTTGATACGATACCTGAGCAAAGTTAAGTAACTTATAGGTTACAAAAAGAAAAAAAGATTGCGATTTTTGTTTAAATCGTGCATTTGTATTAGATTTTTTTATTTAAAAAAATCATAAATATTTAATTACGAACTTAATAACTTAAAGAAATTGAAATTCAATAACGAATTCAATAATTATAACTTTAAATTCTGACTCTTACTCCGATTCAAAACCTTTGAAGAATATCAAAAAGAGGAAGAATATCCCATTATATATAGACAAGTTGTTTGGAGTGGAGGGTCCTTATTCTCGAAATTTCATCGGTAAATATTCTACAAAAAGTTGCAATAGGAATCTATATATGTTGATATATATTACATTAGTCTTTTAGTATTTAAGAATCTTGTTATTTGAAAATGATATGGAATAAAGCACCACAATTTCCCCTAAAGTTTGTCTTGTTTTGTCTTCACTATGATTGGTAATCATGAAGGATATTTTATGCATGGTCTTTATGAAATTATGAACTATTATTCGAATACTTCAAAAATAATACTAATTGTTAATGGCTAATAATAAGACTTGAATCTCAAATCTCTATCTATTATAATATAATGTCAAATTGTATCAATCGCCTAATTTAAAAACTTAAATTGTTCAAAACGTAAATAATATGATTTTATCCTTATTTTGTTTCCCATCGGTGTCAGAACCTGGGGCGGAGCTACCTTCTAGATGAACTCCTTCAGCGGAATATTATATTATTTATGCATGGTTAAAACAAGTATATATGTATATATAGTGGATGTCGAGCACCCTTCAACTATCATTTCTACAGATCTTGAACCCCATTATTGAAAATTCTGGCCCCACCTCTGGCTTAGAACTCACAGTGGAGCCCCGACAAAATTCGAATCGTGCACCTCAAGTGACGCTTCCCATAGGATTTTTCTCAATGCTAGGATTCAAACCTGAAATCCCCGATTAAGAATGAAATAATTCACTATTTCAACATAACCCATACTAATAAATAATTTTTTAATTTATCATCTTTTATCTTATCTTGTATAAGGTAAAAAAATATGGTCATATATATTATATATCCAAGTAGCTCATCTTTTCAGAGTCAACTATGTGTGATATAGTGTTTTTGACTATGCTATATGCACTATGACAAAGCAAAATGCAATTATAGAAAAATTATTCTGCTGACATATATTATAGGATTTTGGGAGTCAATGGTAAGAAAGAAATTCCATCATTTACTGCAAAATGGGATTTTAAACCAATAGCCAGCAGGATTCTATTATCTACTTTTTTCTAATCGATATACATATACTATATATTCACCAACTATTTTTTTTTCATCTAAGTGATTGGGTAGGCTGTAGGTGAATGCTTAAATGAGGTCACAACCAATAAAAAAAAAATTCATTTGATGTCTGATATTTGTATTAGAATTTTACTAATATGAATTCGTGTTATATAAGGCCCATTCAACGTAAAAAAGATTTTTGCCCTTTCTAATACCTTAAACCCGAAACATCTGATTAATAGTGAAGAAAACCTATATATCCATTCCGTCACAATCCTCGTTGGTTAAAATAACAATATATAGCTAGATGATAAGAATTGAAAAACTAAGGGTGTGTTTGGTATGCATGGAAAATGTTTTCCTAGAAAATGTTTTCCTGGAAAATAAGTAGATTTTGGACTTATTTTCTCATGTTTGGTTAGTGAGTAGAAAATATTTTTCGGAAACGATTTTGTGTTTAATTTATGTAAGAAAAATATTTTTGAGGAAAATCTTTTATTTTTACTA